ACATGTCCAAGCCACCGGAGCCGGTGTTTCCAGATGACGACATTCAATGAATGGTGATCTCCACTTTGTTCAAACACACGCCGCCGAACCTCAGAATTACTCACGCGATGATGCCATCGAACGCAAGCAATCCTGCGGAGACAGCGGTGATCGAACACGCAGAGTCGCCGCACATCCTCAGCTCGGAGAGGCCAGGTTTCACAGGCGTAGAGCAGCGCAGCCCGCACCGAAGCATTGTATACCCGATCTTTGACAGCCAGGCTAACGTCGCGACGGCGCCAGAGGTGGCTTAAGTTGATGTATGCCACCCTAGCCTTCATTATACGGTTGGAAATCTCATCCGTCACCCCTCCGCCAGCACTCACACAACTACCCAGGTACACAAACTTATCAACAACTTCAAGCGGTTCACCCGCAACAGTGAGTGCAGGTACAGGCTCCTGCCAATCTTGTAACAGTACTTTGCACTTAGACGGCGCAAAGCACATACCATACTTACAGACACTGATCGCCAACTGATTAAGTGCGATTTGGGCAGCCTGCATGCTATCGCACAGTAAGACGATATCGTCTGCATACTCGAGATCGGAAAGTCTATCTCCAGGTAGTAGATCTACACCACCTTCACGCACATCCTTCAGAGCTGACTCCAGAATGTCATCGATGGCAAAGTTAAAGAGAAATGGAGAGATTGGGCAACCCTGTCTAATCCCACTGTTGGTTGGGAACAGTGGTGATAGTTGGTTGTATGCCCTCACTCTACCTGAGGTGTTTCTGTATAGGGCTTTCAGGATGTTAACAGATTTCTCAGGTACACCTCTCTCTAACAGACAGTTCCAGAGCACAGTTCCGTCCAACGAATTGAAGGCAGCCCTAATATCAAGAAACACAACGATCGTTGGCCTGCAATACGTGTGGCGGTGTTCCAACAACTGACGAAGGGTGAACACATGATCAATGCATCCACGACCTGAACGAAACCCAGCCTGCCCTTCGCGAATCAATCCTTCACGTATTTTGCACAGTCTGCGAAGCAAGACAGCCGCCAATATTTTAGACGCGACTGGTAACAGACTGATACCCCTATGATTGTCACACGAAATACGTCGACCCTTTTTAAAGATGGGGACGATAATGTCTTCGTTCCACATTGATGGTACACTCTCTGTCTCCCACACCTTCCTGAACAACCCAGTTAGAGCCATTGTGAGAGTCTCGCCACCATCTTTAAAAAGAGCCGGGGCCGATTTGTCTGGGCCGGGCGTAGGAAACAGCTGGCGGTAAAACCATCACGTCCCCAGCTCGATCAGGAAACTAAATCCGTATTTGAGGAAGAACTAGCTAAACACATATCTGTGTTCGACAGCTGTGCTCACTCTGAAGAAGCTTGGAAAAATATCCAGGCAGCCATAGATACAGCTGTAAAAGCTGTGAATAAGGTAAACCCAAAGGTGAGTAAAAACCACTGGATCTCCACCGCCTCATCCGAACTCATAGATGCTAGAAGACTTATTCCGGCGAGCTCCGAATTCAATGAGGAGCGAAAGCTGCACAAAAGGAAACTTACGAAAAGTCTCCGGAAGGACCATGAACAGTGGTGGGTGACAAAGGCGAAAGAGATGGAAAAAGCTTCGAGGATAGGCAACACCAGGAAACTATTTAGACTCATCAGGGAAACGGGTGGGAGAAGACAAATCATTAGTGAAACAATCTCGTAGAAAAATGGAGCCAAAATTAGCTCCCAGGATAGACGACTGGATCGCTGGAAAGAGCATTATGAGGAGCAGTTTAATTGGCCCACAGCCATGCTCAACCTTCCGAACATCCAACACCTCCCTGAGTGGGATATACACACAGGTCCTCCATCCCTAACTGAGGTTACTAAAGCTGTCACCAATCTGAAACTAGGAAAAACACCGGGACCTGATGGAATGACTCCAGAGGTTTTTAAGTACGGTGGAGACAGTTTACTGTCTGTATTAACTGAGGTACTAGGCAGCGTCTGGGAATCAGAAGAAGTCCCATCGGGTTGGTGTAAGTCACTGATTATCCCCATATACAAGAAGGGAGACAAGTCTTCCTGTGATAATCACAGAGGGATTAGCTTGACTAATATAGTATCTAAAGTCTTAGGCTCAATAATCATGCGTAGACTGAGTGGTGCTAGGGAGGCACAAACACGAGAGAGCCAGGCAGGCTTTAGACCAGGAAGAGGGTGTATTGATCATATCCTCACCCCCCGACAGATTCTAAAACATAGGAATTCCTACCGGCGTCCAACAGTCATTATATTTCTTGACCTAAAGGCAGCATTCGACTCTGTCGATCGGGAAGTTCTCTGGAGATGCTTGGCTGTAAAGGGAATGACGAGAAAATATATTGCACTGATTAAGGCCATCACTCTACTCGCACTCATACACCCAGGTGAGGGCTTACGGCGAGTTGTCATCTGAACTGGTAACGACTAGTGGTGTCCGTCAAGGATGCCCATTATCCCCTTTTCTATTCAACTTCATCATACATGTACTAATGGACTTAACCCTAACTCACTTCAGCGACTCAGGGATTGACTTTCTACCAGGGAATAATCTCGTCGACTTGGAATATGCAGACGATATAGTCCTCCTAGGCGACGACTCTGACAAAATGCAGAGTCTTCTAAACACCTTGAGCCGCAATCTACGAATGTTTGGCATGCGATTCGCTCCCGCCAAATGCAAGATGATGTTACAGGACTGGACTACATATCGACGCCTAGTTTAAAAATAGGAAGTGAAGTGGTAGAGCACGTTGACCGCTTCACTTATTTGGGAAGTACCATGAGCCAGTGCCAACGGGTTGATATCTGATGAAATTTCAGCACGAATACAGGAGGCTCGTTTCGCATTAGCCAGTTTACGCCGACTCTGGCGTAGACGAGATGTTCGACTAACGACCAAAGGGCGGGTGTACTGCTCATCAGTCCGCTCCGTCCTCTTTTATGGCTGTGAGACCTGGCCACTGAGTGTGGAAGATGTGAAAGCACTGATTAGCTGTCTTTGATCATTGGTGCCTGCGTTCTATCTCCCGTGTGAAGTGGCATAATAAGGTGAGAAACATTGAGGTTAGGCGTAGAGTTCTAGGTAAACAGGGGAAATCAATCGACGAAGTCGTGAAGCTACAAAGACTGAGATGGTTAGGACATGTGTTACGTATGCCAAGTCATCGCCCTCCCCGACGAGCAATGTTAGCGGATGTAGGGTCAGGCTGGAAAAAAGCTAGCGGCTGTCAAACAAAAGCATGGCACCAGTCAATGAAATCCACAACAGTTAGTCTAAGCCAGCCACGTAGGAAGGTGTAGACTTCCAGGCTGGGGTCCTCGGGACGGTAAAAACAAATGGTTGGAAACAATTGGTGACATGGCTCAAAATCGTTCTCAGTGGCTAGAGCAGATGCATCCACTCCTTGTGACTTATGATTTCCAATGAAACTGTTTTGTTCTTCGTTATTACTCCTCTTTTGTCTCACACCTCTGCTTACTGTCTCTATTATGCCTTTCTCGTACTTTCTTCTCTTGCTTTGCGTGCTACATGGAGTGTGGCGACTTGAACTTCCGCACATTTGTGCAAAGCTCTATGTCGAAAACAGACAGACAGAGACGAAAGTAAGATTGAGTTAGTAAAGTTAGATGACGTAGTGCAATTGACTAGGATGTTTCAACTTAGGATAGCAACAGAGGTAATTACAGGTAGAGACTAAGTAGAGGTGGGATAGAGATTAATGCCACATAAATTAGGATACATTTTTAACGTAGAATAACAGGTTAGTTATAGGGTGTCAAAATAAATAGTCGTATTTGTGTGTGACAAACGTGCTAGGCTGAAATCGATTAGAAAATATTGTAAAACGGGAGACAATGGTGGTGATTAGTCATCATAATAGATTTCTGGAGTGTGGGGTAGGAGAATTGACAAATCAGTTCAAGGTTATAAAAGGTGTCAGGTGAGTGGCTAGTACAAAGTGGTGTGTCTTAAACAGGAGATGGTAAGACTGCAATGAGAGGTTCATAATGAGATGACGAATATGTTAAATGAAACAGGTGGAGGCATATATTGAGAAAACTTGGCTTATTATTACAAATATTATTATTAGTTATTATTATTATCGTCATAATTTATGCCCTTTATGCAAACATTCACTCAATACTATCAAATTTTTCATTGATACGGACTTATTATTACTGATATTATCTGTTTTCTCAATATATGCCTCCACCTGTTTCATTTAACATATTCGTCATCTCATTATGAACCTCTCATTGCAGTCTTACCATCTCCTGTTTAAGACACACCACTTTGTACTAGCCACTCACCTGACACCTTTTATAACCTTGAACTGATTTGTCAATTCTCCTACCCCACACTCCAGAAATCTATTAAGATGACTAATCACCACCATTGTCTCCCGTTTTACAATATTTTCTAATCGATTTCAGCCTAGCACGTTTGTCACACACAAATAGGACTATTTATTTTGACACCCTATAACTAACCTGTTATTCTACGTTAAAAATGTATCCGCCGCATAACTGGCCTTTATCGTAACGACCGCAAATATTATATTTCGTAATTGTAAGAACCTGAAGACGAGAAATTATTGAAAAGAATATTCTTCGTTCAGATTGACTTTCAATTCATAATATGGGAATATTTCACACTATCAAATCTGTCTAATTAACCTTGTTTCTGTATTAGATCATTCTTGTATTACGTAAATAATTACCTAAACTTGACAAACCTCATGCACACACACACACACAAATAATTATATATAAATGCGATTGTACAGCTATGTGGGTGAATTCGCCGCCGGAAAAAGTCTCTTCGCTGAACAAATTCTCTTTTTCATATGACTTAATGCGGATTTTTAAGCTACTTCAATGTAATGAAAAAATATATAAAACTGACAATGTCATAACACTGATTGTTCAAAAATGCAATAAACAAAGTATTTCAACTTACATATCTTGCATAAGCATAAGTCATAGTTTCACCAAGTCGTTTACTTTCATCATAACAAGCTCTTGGTCCAATAGGATTCACATGACCCCAGTATGATTCAGGTTGAGGATGAACTTCGGGATCTAAAAGTAAGAAAAGTCAATACGTAGTATATATATATATATATATATATATATATATATATATATATATATATATATATATATATATGGTGAAAGATTACATCACATAGTTGAAACTGTAATATTTAAGTTCTTAGGATTCCTCTCATTTTAGTGCTTTCCAATTTTAAGCTCCTTTTCATTACCTCCGCTTCTACACAAAGTCTCTTGATTTGCAAAAATAAGGATACAAACACTGAGTTAACAAAACAAACGTTACGTCTCAGTTGAAATTACTTTATAGTTTCAGAGCTTATCATGGGACTGTTAAACATGTAGATCCACTTAGGACAGTTGGAAAATCCCGACTCCAAACCTCTGGTGAATATAGGCTCCAGAATCCGGAATGAACGAATGGTGAGTGAACAGGTAAACATGAGAATTCAAGGACCATTGGATCGGGTCCCAGTGGCTCAATGGTCTACAAGCTCGCCCTGTTATCAGAAGGTCCTTGGCTCGAACCCCGGTGGGTGCGTACTGCTGAGGAATTTCAATCTAGAACGAAATAAATAATCAACAAGTATTGGTTTGTAGGGATTTGATTGCCTACAGATTTGATCATGAGCTGATATCACATGGAGAACTAGTGGGAAACCAGACAGCACCGGTGTACTAAGTGTCTGCCCTCTTTGACGTATTGATCTGCAATTTTTATTTTGACCATTTATTCAGGCCTTAAACACTTCACTTATGCTTTATTCTCTCACCTCTAAAACGCTTTATTATGTTATGCATATTCCTATGACAAGGATATGCGTATGTGCGCGTGTGTGATCAAATTGCTGGAATTATACATTGCACGAATACACATTACACGATTCAGATAAATTAGATCAAATCCCTACGGCCTAGGGAGCATTGTCTCAACTACAGGAGGAATGGACGAGGATGTCAAATCGAGCAAGAATCATAGGGAAGGTGAGAAACACATTCATCAACCTGAAACCAATCTGGAAATCTTCGTCACTCAGCCAGCATCGACAACAAAATTCGGTCGGTCAGATTTCCAATACAAACACGTCAAGTCAGTCAGATCTTCTATACGGATCAGAAACTTGGCGGGTCACTAAGAATATTTCCAATAGGCTATTACAGACCTTTATCAACCAACAATTGTCTTCGCTGGCTCTATACTGAAGATCAGATGTCCGGGCCGGAAAGAATCACCAACAAGGAACTACGGGAACAAAAAAAAACAAGAACCAATCGCAAACCAACAAATTTCCAGGAGAAAGTGGAGATGGATGGGGATGTACACCCGTTGAGGAGGTCACTGGGTGACATCGCGCGCGCATCAGGTCACTGCTCGACTTAAGCCCGAAAGGAAAGCGGTGAGTGTAACGTCAGTCCAAGGGTGACCTCGAGGAGATCGTGTGAGGAGGAGTTGAAAGAGTATGGAGTAACATGGATGCAGGTGAAAAGTACAGCAGAAGGAAGACAGAAGCAAGCGGAGACGTGCAGTCGAAGCCCTATGTTCCACTAGGAGCCCAAAGGAACAATAATAATAATACAATAATACCGGGATAAGTGTGCTAGGTTGAATTCAATTACAAAATATCGTATAAATTGCAGGACAACGGTTGCAGTAATTAGTCATAATAGACTCATATAATGTAAGGAAAGATTGAGAACAACAAATTCAGGCGAACAGTGATATTGTGCTTTCAATAACATCTCATCAGGCTTAACTCTACTAATTCTACATAACTTCACAAATAAAAATTAAAATATAAGATGGGGAATATAAAATGTACAATTACTCAAACTACTAGTAATGATCATACTAAAGAAAAGCTCTTCAGCAAAAAGTTACTCTTTTCGGCGATATCATTCTCAAGCTGTACAAATCGCAAATTTATAGTAATTTGTCTTGGCAACAAAAGGAATATTTCCAAAGATGTGTTAATGCAATTGTTAATTTTTGACAAACAAATTACGTAATTTAGAAGGCGTTAATCGGTTAGAAACTAAAATAAAGTTACAAAAGTAGGTTGGGTGACGTAATCTAATTGATAGGGTTCAATGAAAAAATGAATGAGAGTCAAGTTAATAATCTGAGTAGAATTCACTTGAAAATGAATGAGAGTTAAGTTAATAAGCTGAGTAGAATTCACTTAAAAATAAACGAAAATAGAGTTAGCAACAGTCGTCATGAGCGTAGAGATTTAATAGAGGGTGGGGGTAGAAAATAATGCAATTAAGAAATAGACAAACAAAGAAGAAAGAGGTAAGACAAAATTACGCATTTGGTGTTAAGATAGATCAGGACCATTGTAGATTTAGTGACTGAACAAACTTCTTTTGTATGCAGAGTTCAGGATTCAATATGTGAATTGCCATTGCTTCTGCAGTTTGAAGAAGTTTAATTCGTACTCTTTTGGCAAGATTCCCACGTATTGTGTAGATAACTGAGAAGTTGTTTTGTGGGTTTGCTTGGTGTCCGGATTCGATCAAGTGTTCTAGGATAGATATGTGGCGGGGGGATCTTCTTTCTCCTTTATAAAACCATGAAGGTAAGTGTTCGCTGATTCGTTTGGATAGCAAACGCTGGGTACGGCCGACATACCTAGCTCCACATGAGCAGGTGAATTGGTAGATGCACATTGATGAGGCCCCCAGTGGAAGCTTATCCTTCACGTTCGTGCGAATCATTGGTTTCTTAGAGAAAGTTAGTCTGAGTTCCGCTGCGAAGAAGGTTTTCTTCAGTGGAGGGCACAGGCGGTTTCTCAGTGTTTCTGCTGAAGAATCTCCGTTGAATTCTAGATTCAAATACAGAAGTTTCTTGGGAGCAGTAGGCATGGATGGTTTTTGTGTTTTGGGCTTCATAGCTTTTGTGATGAAACGTTCCGGGTAACCGTTTTCAAGCAGGATTCTTTTCAGGGACTTCAGCTCTTCTTCTATAGTTTCCGCACTGCAAATGTTGTGGATTCTGTGAGTTAGTGAGCGGATCAGATTTCGTTTTGTATATATAGGGACCCAACTGTGAAAGCTGATGAGTTGTCCATTCCATGTCGGTTTTCTGTGAATGGATCTTTTGAGTGTCCCATCTTGTTCGCGTCTTGCTAGTTGCACGTCCAGAAAAGATATTGTTGCGTTGGACTCCTTCTCTAGTGTGAACTGGATTGCTGGATGGCAACTGTTGAAGAAGTCCAATATGTTCTCCAAATTTTCCTCATTATTGGCGATAATAAAAGTATCGTCCACGTATCTCTTGTAGAATCCGAAGTTATCTATTATCTTCTTTAGGTGTGTATTTTCTAGTTTTGACATGAAAATATCTGCAAACAGCGGGCCGAGTGGTGAGCCCATAGCTATACCATCTTTTTGTCTATATATTTCATTATTGAAAGTGAATTGGACGTTTAGGGTACATCTTAATAGGAGTTCCTTCAAATAGTCAGTGGGTATACCAATGTTCATCTCCCTTGAATCAATATATTCACATATATAGGATATTGTTTCGGTTAGTGGGACGTTTGTAAACAGTGATACCACATCTAGTGAGAACATGGTTTGATTGGAAACGCTGACGTTATCAATGGAATTGACAAAATCGAAGGAGTCTCGAAGTGAGTGGCGGGAGATTTGCTTTCTGACTGGTTCTAGTATGTTTACTAGCCATTGTGCGGTACTGTGATAAGGTGAATTAGTCATATCGAGAATGGGTCGAAGAGGTACGTTTTTCTTGTGCACTTTTGGTAGTCCATATAACCGGGGTATATTTGAGCCCGACGGTTTCAACGATTCGAAGGTTTCGAAATCGATGAATGATTCAGTCTTTAGTTTTCGGAGAAGGTTCGTTAGTTTTTGTTCGGTTTGTTCCGTCATGTTCTTTTCCTTTGCTGGTTTTATGAATTTAGATTCGTCGGATAGGATGGTCAGCATTTTACTTACGTAGTCTTCACGATTCATGACTACGATTCCCCCACCTTTATCCGGGCGTAACAGAATAATCTCTTTGTTTTTTATTAATTCCTTGAGCTCTTTATAGTGTTTTTTGGTCAGTATTGACTTTCCATTTGGTTTGGTATTCATAAATTTATGGCAACTGTCGAGGACTACCGACCTGAACTGTTGCAGGTTCTCTTCGGAAGTTGGTGATAGATCATATGTGTTTGGTTTATCAGGTTTTTGAACTGGACTTGGGATTGAAGTTTTTGGATTTTTGATGGTTTTGTGCAGAACTTTGGACCGAGGGACAGTGCTTCTAGTTGAAGTTCTGACAGCTCAATGTTTGACAGGTTAAATACGTATTTTTCTGGATTGCTTGGGAATGGACGTTCAGGGTCGCTCGTCGGCTTCAGGCTTTTAATAAGGTTTGACTTGGTATTCTCACATTGTTTCTGTGCAACTTCTTCGACATATTCTTCGAACGATTGGTCTGGTCTGGTCTGGATTCAACATAGAACTTGGCAATGAAGTGCAACAGTTCGAGTTGCCACCTTCCAAATAGCACACAGAGGTAGACAAGAAGATGAGTGGAGAGAATCAATACAGTCTGACAAGTATAAGAGTGAAACAGAATGGTTAATGGTAGAAAGGAATATGAAAGATTACAGAGACTGAATACATCTGTGCTGGCCATTGACAAAGATTTTGAGCCATGTCACCAGCCATTGATTCCTAGAGTCCCGAGGTCCCCAACCCGGGAGTCTGCATCTCCCTACCTGACTCAGTTTAACTGTCAAGGATTTCATGGATTGATGAGGCCATATTTTTGTTTGGCCGCCACTGGCTCTTTTCCAACCTGAACCTATATCAGCTAGCAATGCCCGTCGGGGGAGGCGGTGGTTAGGCATGCGCAGCACGTGACCTAGCCATCTTAGTCTATGTAACTTTATAGCCTCGTCGATTGATTTTCCCTCTTTGCCCAACACTCTACGCCTAACATCAACATTACTTATCTTGTGAAACCACCTAACGTGAGAAAGAGATCGCAGACATCTATGATCGAAAGCAGT